TACATGAAAAGATTCACATTATCAAATCAACTGATAAAAATAATAAAATCATTTTCTTCCTCATATATTACTGGCATAACTTCATAATAAATTTCCTATTCGAAGAATAATTCCATATCAATGGCATCAACTTATATCCATGCAGGCTCAGCTGAGAAAATGTAAACATGGAGTTATGATTGCGTTCACAGCAATCTTTATCTTTCGCTAAACTTTAAACCTTTGTAATTTCTTCGTTTTGCTGGTGGTTCTATGATTGATATAGGTATAAATTAATGAGAAATTTCAACTGGCTTATACGGAATTTAGGAACAGACTGTATAAAAAATAGTACACCAGGCTTTTTGTAACTGTTTAGATATAGGAAATAAAGAGGAAGAAGAACGAGTACACGTAAGGGATCACCTGATGAAGCGTAAAAAAAAACAACGATTTCACTTTTAGGGGATGTGTGTAAGAAAAATATGATATAGAATTGGTTTTGTTATTGTTGAGGAGTTCTCCCCTTTTACACAAATGGACTCACCCAGTATATACATATACTACTGCTACGTGAAGACCAGAGAGAGAGAGAGAGAGAGAGAGAGAGAGAGAGAGAGAGAGAGAGAGAGAGCAAGACCGAAGAGTCGAGTCGAGTCCAGAGTGACAGAGTAAAAGGTTGTAGGTAACCGGAAGAGTGAGGGTGAGGTAACCGCATTGTAGGAGTCACAGTGATCGAGCACGTAGACTCAGTAAGAAGTCATACAGCGATACTTCAATACCAAAGACTGTATATATATTTTGCTACTAACCCGTATTCCTGGAACTACTAGCCTGCTTTACCAGTTTGTATTATTACGTTAATACATTATTTCCATATATTAATTCCTGGCGTTTGTTATTTATTGGTACCGAATTTCAACCCGGAATCCACAACAGTTATTTTGTTTATTTTTAATTTCTAAGGATACTCTAATTAACAACATTTCCAATAACCTCATCTATATTTAATCAATAAGCAGTCGTCTTATACTACAGGTATAGGATAAATTCATGAAAATTTGCTATATATATATTTTTTTATCTCGTCTTGTATAAAAGGTCGGAAATATAAGCGGAAATATAAGGTAACTATTTTGGCAGTATATTAACAAACAACGGAAAGTATGACAGAGAAATGTTAAGATATTTAGGAGTAGGGAAAGGGGACATTCGGAAACGTAATAAAATATTAAGGAAACGGAAAACATTATTAGAAACAAAGAAAATAATATTGGATTGCTATGTAATATATTATCGCCTATATTACAATGAATGCTGAACTATTTCCTCACAGATAAAAACATTGAAGCGACAACGTTATAGATCAACTGATGGATGCGGAGGATATTATGGACACAGTATACTTTAAGGAGAATATGAACAACACAGAAATCGCTGTAAACAATCAGAAACAAAAAAATAAACAAGTAAAACTTTGTGAACAGACAATGAGAAAGAAAGGTTTGTAGAATTTAGCGCTTAAAATGCACATAAAAGACGTGTGAAGTCAGTAAACTTCTTGTGTTAAAATATGTACATGGCAGAACAAAGGCTAAAAGAAAAAAAACGGACGGTAAAAGAGCAAAGTATTATTTTGAACAACTCTTTTCGGCATAGTGTATGGACAAATTCTTCATACATTATATCCAATCATTGGCTAGTGCGATATATAAACATCCACCCAAGAGAGGAGAATGACAGTTTCAGACATCGCAGATGAGGATATATCGTCCACGTTTCGTTGTCTGACATTAAGGGACGTCACTAATTGAAGTCCGAAGTTGAAGATATAACTAACTATGAGAGATTCGGTTTCCTTTTATCATTAACCAGCACAATGATAACATTACACAAGATGATAATAGGATTCGGAGGCCTATCATGACTTATCAGCCGACATCAACTGAACAACATACATTAAACAGATGAAAGTGTGCTGATAGCAGGTTCATAAGAAAAAAAATCTGAAAGAAGTATTAGTCAAATTAGTCAATGAAACCAAGAAGAAAAAAACGTTAACAGTAAAACAGAAGTCATGGTTGTCAGTAAAATGGACATCCCAAATGAAAGTTACCTATTGGAGACATAAAAATTAAAAAGGCGAAGAAATTTATCTACGTAGTATTATTAAGAGAACGACAATTAGTGGACAAAAATGCGAATGAACAAAAAGGTCTCTGAGATTAAATAAAAGGAAACTCTGTAAAAGATCTTAAAATCTTAGCAATACTTGATCTACATGATACAGATATTCAAATAGTGATCGACTCAAAAATAATAATTGTTATTCGAAATTTGTTTATATCTCTGAGATAAAGTATTATGATTACTTACATTATTTACATTATTCAGACTGTTATCTTCATCTTCATTGCCGTATTCACAACGTTTCAGCCGTTGTACGCCCCGCCCTTCTTCCTAAGATACGAAAACTTAAGGATTCAGCGCATATGGTAGGCCACAAAAATCTCCTGATCCTACCAAGTATAGATATGAATACAATATGGGAACCAGTAATAAGGAGTGCTAAAGAAAAGCAACGAATAATATATAATATGAGCGCTGGTAAAAAAAAAAAAGGTTGCTGTGACATTCGGTTTATAAGTCCCAAATCCCATTGGATCTAATAATGGTTCAATACCAGGTCACAGCAGTGGTGAACTAAACTTGGAGAGACTCCTGGAAGAGACATGGCGCATGGAACTAGAGCAATCTAAATAAAGGGTTCGGTTCAAAATTCCAATCACCTGAAGAAAGCTGGAGCGTACAACGGCCGAAACCTTGTGAATATGTCAATGAGAATAACAGTCTGAATAATGTAAATAATGTTGGTATTCGAAATAAAGAGCTTTGTCCATGCATAGAAAAAAATTGAGTACAGTGAGACTTTTCTTTTTCAAAGTAGATTTTAAATTGTACAAACATTGTAGTATGTATAGTAGTCTATATTATACCAGAATAGACAATAAATGACATGGAAGAACATTAAGGAAGACAAGTGCACTGTTGACATGAAACGAACTTCAAGCCACCGATTGCAGACCCAGGTTATCACCGCAGCTGAAATTGGGATGCAAGTGTGGGAAAAAAACAGTATTATAGACAGATATATAAATCCCCACCCCAGAGTGGGGAGGTTGATGTTTTATTCATAAGAAAAACTGAAAGAACTATTTGACAATGAGTTGTCAAAAAAAAAAAAAAAATAAATAAATAAATAAAAAAAAAGGGACTAAGAATATTAATGTTTGTTTGTCAACAAAAGAGCCAGTTGCGTAACGGAGATGTCAAAATGAAACAAGTGCAGGGAATTGTTATTATTTGGCTAGTGTAGTAACTGACAACAGAAGCTGTGGCACAGAAATGAAAAGCGTGTAATAACAACGAAATAAGCTTCTTATAATTGGAAAAAAGAATAAGGAGATCGAAGAAATCTCCTTAGAAACAAAGATGTTTCTGAACAGCTATGCAATATCTATCCTCTTATATGGCTGCTTTTGTTGGATAATTTCTTTAGAGATAAAGAACCGATTTGACGCAACAGGCATATGGTTCTACTGACAAATATTGGGAATGCCATAGACAGAACATGTGAAAAACAAGGAGTTTTTAATTGTTTTAAGGGTAAAGGTTTTAAGTTTTAATGGTAATCGGAACTACAAAGAAAATTTTGCTAATTAGAAAATATGGATAAATAACTTTTTGGGACACAGAATAAGAAAAAGGTTTTGGAAAAATGTATTACTTACGAGGCATACTGAAGGCAAAATAAGTCAAGTAACTCAATTATTATGGTAAATACCGTAATTCCCCATGTATAATATGCATTTTTTCTAAAAAAATAATAAGCAAAATCAGGGGTGCGTATTATGCACAGCTATGAAATATCTCTAAAAATTGCTGTAAAATAAAATAAGAATTATAAAACTAAATTATATTATTATTATTATTCTATGTTTAAAACGATTTTTAAAAAAAATAAGAGTAGGAAAGCTGACCGTAATGAAATTGGAGAAGTAAAATTTATAGGGTTTGAATATCAAACAAGGGGTGCGTATTATACGTGGGTAAAAGCATTTTACCACACTTTCAACACAATTTTAGGAGTACGTATTATGGATGAAGGCGTATTATACATAAGGAATTACGGTACTTGCCAGAACAAGGACTACAAAGAAAAAGAGGAGTGATAAAATTGCAAGCATTACTTATGGTCACAAAAGTCAGGAAGATATGGAGATAGCTGAACGATCATGTTTGAAAAGTACATTATATATTCAAAGAAAGATATACAGGGTGTCCGAAAATAATGTATACACTCTTTGAAACGTTATAACTTATTCAATTTATGTATTTTGACTTATAAATAAGATTAATACAAGAGAAAGAATACACATTTAAAAGAATTTGCGAGTTAAATATACAAAAAACATAGAAAATTAACTTTAATAGGATAAAAGCTACTTGGGTCAATGGCAGAATGTTCATATAATAATGAGTTCACATCAAGTGTTCAACCTGGTTGCCGTTCTGTTCAATACACTTTTCATATCTTCAAGAAATAGACCTACAAACGCCCAGTATAATTTCCTCTGGTATTTGAAGATATTCTTCTTCAATTGCTGCTCTCATTTCAGCAATTGTTTCAGGTTTCCCGCTGTAAACTTTGTCTTTAAGAAACCCCCACAAAAAGAAATCCAAGGGAGTGAAATCTGGTGATCTAGGGGGGTATTCAACTGTCCCTCTTCTTCCAATCCATCTGTTTTGCATATTTTCATTCATATAAAAAATGTATTATTAACTATTAATATTTAAAGAGTGTATACATTATTTTGGGACACCCTGTATGAATGGAAAATAATATTCCTGCGATGAATATCTTTGGAATTGAATAGGAAATGTTGTTAAATTATAGAACGTCAAGACAAGCATACACGGAATAATTAAATAGACGTATTTCCTGCAACCAGGGGGGGGAGTACGGCCATATCACGTTGAAACACCGGTTCCGATACGATCACCGAAGTTAAGCAACGTTGAGCCTGGTCAGTACATTGGTGGGTAAACTTTAATATACGGGTGGTGCAATTGATAATGATTCGGTATTGTTAATCGGAGAGTCGAGTTCAAATTCCAGTTGAGATCTTTATATTCACTTACTTGCAGATACCCTCGAGAAAGGCATGAATCCACCTCTTCTCCTCCATCTATAGGTTAATTAGTAAAATCACTAAATCAATATTATCTCAAAAAATATCTTACAATAAAAAAAAATGAATCAATCCTGCAACTGACGTAGGAATCGACAGTGTGTGGTATAGCACAAATCTACGCTTCCAAGATCAGGTCAAAGTAAAATTATTGCTGCTGAACTGGTAACGACTAAAATGGCTCCTGAATCCATTTTGATGATGAGAAGATTAGTGGTTACCTACACTCTTGGAATGGAAATATTAAAAATAGACGGATGAAATGTAAATGTCAACGTAGAGATTGTGTCTTATTAAAATCAACATTGGAGGAACCCTCAGTAATTAAATAATGATTTATTCAGTTAATATCACTTGTCTCAAAATGTTCTATGACTTATACCTTTTAGATCTATGAAAGTTAATATTGCAGTTTATTTCTACTGTCGTTTAAACGTTTTGGGCCAACTACATAAAGTGATTAACCAAATTTATTATATTAAAATAGTTTAGCAGTAAGCTTTTATCAGTAGTGTCTGTATACACTGAAATTGGAAAAAAAAGGGCTGAGATTTACTTGACTCCCCACTGAGTAAGGCTGTGACACAAGGTCGGTTATTAACGTGGGGACCCGAGTGTTTCCACGCGGGTCTCTGGTCTTAGCTAGTCATAGCTTGTCTTAGCTGGTGAAAGCTTGTCTAAGCTAATCATAGCCGGTCATACCACCGCGACGTAACAGATGTCACACAAAAAGATGTGGGGAAAGCAAGGAAGGAGATAAGGTCTCCGGCATGGAACAGATACTACATCTGCAGCATCCATCCCGACGGGGGGGGGGGGAACAATAATACCTCCAGAAGAATCTGGGGTAGGGGAAGCCCTCTTCCTCCATTTGTCCTTCCAGTAGAGCTTAGATGTGGCACACAATCGAAAGTAGGGGGCATCCAGTGAGGATCTAACTCACTACTGAGTCTTAATTGTTCTAGAGAGACAAGCCTGCCTCGAGGTGCCAAAGTTGGCAAACACGAACTTGCTTTTTTGTATGCGCCATGTAACAGAAGATACATCGTTATAAGTTGAAAAAATAGAAAACTATTGGGTTAATGAAGGATCTGGGATTGTAAAATAAGGATAATATGCAAATGTCTTTGTTCAGTTGTTCCAAATTATTAACAAGTGTGCAATGTGCCATTATGAGTTATTGTAGTTTAATATTGGCTTGCTTTTTTTTACACTAAAATCATGACTAACCGATTGGCAAAGAGAAATAGCGGATAACACGAGAAAGATTATGAGAGTCTTGGTAGACAATCCAAAACTAAAAACCAGATAATTGAGGAGTGAATGGAGTCTTATCAGAACAGTAAGGTTTCAGAAGATACAGAATGCAGACTTTTACCAAAAACAACTTGAACAAAAAAAAAAAAAAAAAAAAAATTAAAAAAAAACATCGGAATAGAAAATTGAAGTGGTCAAAAGATAACATGGGATGATGTAAAATAATTTTTGGTGATGAATGTAAAACAGGGTTACATTCTTATGCATAAAAACATGTAAAAACAAAACATTGGAAGAAAGAAACAATACAAAATACACCACAAAATCTTGGGTGGTGGGCACGAAAAACTGTGAGGTGGAATCAAAAGCGATGGTAGAATTAAATTGGTAAAAGTTGTTAGAAACCAAAACAGCGAAAACTGTATTACTTTATTACTGGCTAATCGTCTGGCGGACTTTGAAGATGGAGAACGTTTCAGGATGACGATACTCCTTGCCACATATCAAATGCAAGAAAATGGTTTCTCGTGGATGAATATATTCTGCTTTTGGAAGATTGACCAGCACAAAATCCAGATCGCAAAATATTTGAACAATTGTTGTAGCAACTGAAGAAAAAAGCGTTTCAATGTAAACTGCGTAATCTCTAAGAGCTTGTAGATTACTGCCAAGAAGAAAATTCCCAATGAGAAAATCAGGACCATATAGAATTGAGATAATTATTCGGATCAACAACACTAATTATTAACGCTATGCCTTGACGTTTTGTACTTTTTGTAATAGCAAACATCACTTTTTTTTTTGAAAACGAAAGAAAAGAAAATTGCTGAAGCTTTCACTTCGTATATTGGCTTTTTTTCTCAGTATCATTATGCTTAAGATTCTTTCTAGCCCAGAATACAAAATTAACGAAAATGCAATAACTTGTTTTCTGGCCGTAAAATGTACTAAGGAAAGTAGCATACTGTTAATTACAATTTTATGGTAAAATTAACAGTAATGGTCTGCACGA